AACCCTACATTTCACCTCATTAGAAGCATTATGTAGATCGATAAAGGTCCTAAAGTGGTCCAGATGATTTTCTAGATAAATGATTCCATTGTATGTGTCTTTCAATAGTTTGAGGGAGAAAAGGATGTCAACTTGTCTGATGGTGGGTATGAGGAGGTTATGATAGTCCTCGAGCCATTGGAGATCTTTGTTTTTTTTCTTTTTTTAGTCAACTAGCTCTTTGTGCAATGTAACAACTTACGCAACTAGCTCATTATCTAGGTTAGGGTTTGCATGGACTTAACTTTGTGTAGGGTTTAGTATAATATAGTCATTACGATAGGTACTGCTTTGTATTGTTTGAGGATAAATTTCTTCATGAAGGGTCAAGTTTTGTTGTGGTGGTTCCCTGAAGGATAAAGCTGAACTTTCTTTGAGGTGAGGCTTTTTTAAAAAAGGTTGTTGGGTGGCCTACTAGAATTGTTGAAATAGCCTTTAGCCTTTATTGTATGGCCACTTGGGCATTTAAGAGCTGAATTTAGGCCATTAATGCTTGGTAGAAGTTTGGGGTAAGTTGCTGCATGTTTGGTAGGTATATAGGGATTTGTGGAATGGTGAGTAAAACATACATGGTGGAAGTTACATAAGGATTGTTTGGCCACTAATTGGCATTGATGGATTACGAAGAGGAAATTTGTTTTGTGGGTAGTTAGGAAACAAGTTTTGAAGGTGTAGTTGCAGTGGTGTGGACCAATGTTAGAGTTAACGTTACATTTGGAGATAAAACTCCCATCAAGTTTTAGTAAAAACCTAAAGGTTACATAGCCCACATATTTAATGACAGTGGGTTGGGAATGGAGAATTCCAAGAAGGTAGGCTTGGTGATGGAATTTAAGGGAGAGTTGGTAGCAAAGATGCTACATCAGTAACAACTACAAGTTGAGTAGAAGTATTAATGGTGGGAGTTAAGAATTCAGAGGAATGTGGTTGGTAATACATGGTTGTCGGTTCCAACATATGGTGACAATTGTTGAAGCTGTCTTAACTGAAAAGAAGGAGGGGAGGTTGAAGAGAAAGATGACTCAAACCTGTAACCAAAAAACATTTTAAAGGGGCGCCGGAGTTGTTGCTCTAGGGCACACACCAACATTTAAGTCAATATTGTATCAGAAGTTAAGTAAAGTAAGGAAGCAGAAGAAGATGGTGAAATGCACGGAGAAAGCTTCATTGGAGGAAGCTCAAAGTGTGTAGTAAGGTTATGGCTTCTTCGTGTTGTTGTTACATACCCAATCCTCCAATTACCTTATTTATGAGACCAAGAGGCGGTGACCTAACTAAGACAATTGACAGTTGATGGGATGTCTACGTGGAGCTCGAAAAGGGTCTACATAGGTAGATGTGAGTCGTAATTTAATAATCCCAGGCAAGCATGAGCTGCATTTAATGGCCTTAGGTAAGTTGGATGCCAAGTGGTTAATTTTGAAGTGACTGTCTTGATAGGTTGTCAATTGGACTTTGGGCAAGTCATTCATTAGACGAAAGATGAGCCATTTTCCTAGAGCAGATGATGTAGCTGTCAAGGCGTGCCTTATCTGGATGACTCCAAGGTATGACTAGTTGTTCAAGCCTTGACCAAGTTTACCGTTAACAGTTAACTTAGGTGTAACAAGTTTAATTTTATCTCTTGAATCTATTAAAATCAATTATTAGAAAAAAAATGTAAAACTAAAACATTTTACATTGGTGTAAATTAATTCCTCCCTAATTAATAATCATGTAAGTCTTTTGTAATTGCACTATATATCACAATATAATATTTTAAGGTTTAAGAATGTGGATGTCTTTTTGCAACAAAAACGGAAGGGATGTCTTATTTTGGATTGATTCTATGGTAAGTAAATTCACTGTCAAATCTACCAACTACACAGCAAGGGAGGTACTTGGTCGACAGGTTTTTAATAGAACTTAAAGACACCCAATATGGAGACTTATATGGTCAGCTAAAGTCGTCGCCAAAGTTAAGGTATTTTTTTAAGGTTGGTGAAGCAAATATTACCAACTTCCGAGAGGCTTTATAAGAGAGGAATGTCGGTGGAGATATGCTGCCCGGTTTATGAAGGGTATGAGGAATCTTGGAGTGATGTACTTGTTACTTACCACTTTAGCAAGTTGGTGTGGAATGATATGCTTCCAGGGGTGAGTGTTCAGCAGTCTGAAAGAGCAGTTGATGATTTTTGGCTTGATGTTCTGGAGGAAGCCACACGAGCAAGTTCTCTTGATCTCTGCATGTATGCGTGTTGGCTACTGTGTTGTAATAGAAATAAGTGCTTTCACAAAGGCACATGCGATATGACTAAGAGATTGGTGGCTACAGCTCGATGGATGTTAGCAGCAAAGCATAGTGTGGAAGGTGATAAAAATTAGACAAGGAACAAAGGGACACATTAACAACAAGGGTGGCAACTTCCTCGGCAGGGGATATATAAGCTAATGTAGATGCATCCTTTACGAGTCAGGAAGGGGTAGCAAGAATGGGACTGGTTATCAGAGACTTGGATGTTGTTGCAGTTTATTTGTTAAAGTATTTTCTAAAATTAGTGAAAGATGTTTAATTAAGTATGATACTTGAGGGATTGAGAAATCAAAGTTTAGGAAAACTTGAAACAAGCTTTGGAATCAAGAATAAGCTGGAAAACTTAAGTTGGCATTTAAATACCAACTTTCTGTTTGAGGGTATTTGAATACTCTCATAGGGCATTCGAATACCCACTCATTGTTTTAGGATATTAGGTAAAAAATCATTAAGATATTTGAATGCTCAAGAAGGCCATTTGAATACCACCATTCTATTTGGCTAAAAAGCATGATTTTTTGCAATGGTTTTTCTTGGAACAAGACTTGCTCGATCTTTCACTATAAAAAAGGTGAATAATTATATCCATAATTATTCATAAAAATGTCTTTAAGTTATAAGACATATTACTTCATTAAAATGGTACAAGTTAAGGGACACAACCTTTAAGATCATTCTCTATAAATAGAAATGGGCAGAAGTCATTTGTAGCATGTTGTTTAGTGTTAAAAAATGTACAAAAACACTGCCAAATTCTTCTCCCTCTTACTTTTAAAAGAAAACAAATCTCTTTAGCTTTATTTGTTACAGTAAATTAGTCTAAGATTAGATATTTCCGTGCCTCTTCAATGGTGTTTAGTGGTTTGAATCTCACTGATATAAGGTGAATTCAAATAAAGTTTTATTACATCTCATAGACTATTTGAACAACCGCGATTGCATCCCAAAAAATGATGGGAGGCAAATAAAGTGTTTTCATAAAAACGCCTTAAAGCCATTTTGCTGTAGTTTTCGATTCTCCATTGAATGTCAATATTTAACCACCGATGTAGGGGATATACTTCAAAAAGTAGCAGACTTGGAACCATTCATCTTCGTCAACATTAAGTGGTCGTTATACCAACATTACTCAGCTGTGAATCAAATCGGGCAGAAAGCCTCCTTCATGTAGAAGTATGGGCTATATTATGGAGTTTACTGGTGACTAAAGAAAATGGCTTTGTTCGGATAGAGGTAGAAAGTGATTCCCAGTTAGTCATAAGAGAAATTAGAGAGGGAGATATATAATATTAGGCAGGAGGTAATTTGATTTAGATTTTAAAAGGCTTCGCTTTTGGTTTTAATGTGGTTTCTTTTAGTCATGTCAGTAGGAAAGTAAATAAATTTGGAGCATATACCTATAACAATTATTGTACAATTAATTAATCATAATTTAAAATTGTACAATGATTATCAAAATTTTACATAGAACTCGTATTTATAAATAGTAGATACTTATAAGATTTTTTATTAAAATTAAACTATCGTAATATATTATAATAAAAAGAATTGTAGATGAAATATTCCAAATAAACATGCTTATGAGCTAGCAAGGTTGGAGTGCCAGGTTGCAGAACATAGATTTTGGAGGAATTCATTGCCAACTTCTCTGTGTAATCCCTTGTGAAGTTTGAATATGAATGAAAGGCTATTTTAATAAAAATTAAAAAAAAAAAAAAAAAAAAAAGGAGAAGTGGATGTCTCTAGTGTTGTTTGAGATGCAAACTAGATGCTGAGAAAATAAGGTGAACGACAATGTTTTTGTGTTAATTAAGCTTTTTAATTTATGTACCGAAAATATTAGTTTTTCAATTTAGATACGTTAAAACTAATTAATAACTCTAAATGTCAAATTTTATTTTCCCTTTTTGACGTTCTTTTTTTTTTTTATGGTACAATCGTAAGGCAAGGAGACTTAAACTCGATTTTAAACTCAATTTAAAAAAAAAAAATTACAAAAATTGAGATTTGAATGTTAAATTACCTTAATGACATTTTTTAAAAATAATTATATAAATTAATTAAATTAAATCTTAAATTTAATGCAACTTTTTTTTAGTACATATAGTGTTGGAATACTCATCGTGTCTCTTCAAAACAAATCCATCTTTTACAACTTGAATTTAAAATATTACCTATACTTCCTCAAACCGTTATTTATTAAACTCCTTATCGTATGAGTCAAACACTCCATTGATTATTGAATTAAAATTCATGTTGAAATTGAAATCTCTAATGTATCATCATAATTTTAATCTTATATAATTTTCAAAACCTTAAGCGAGAGAAAGTGACTCTGCGTTTTGCCTATGGTTCTAACCATCAATCAACATTACACGTGAAAGGGAACTAGCCGTTCAGGCATCCATCCTCCGGGCCTTCCTAGAAGCAAGTGAAATTTTATGGTTACCCTTTGTTGTTATAATCCCTTGCAAAATAGACTACGCAGAACTTCTTTTATTTCTAATAGAAACCATGTTCCTCTTCCATTAAAAATGGTAGGGCCTGTCACCATGAATATGAGCAGTGTCACCAAAAATAACCTTTGAAAAATTCATTAAAATTCTTAATTTTATAGAAATACTAGTTTTGAATATGATAGCTTTACGAAAAATTTGGCAAGACAATCTGAATACACAAGCTCAAGCATATAAATTTGAGTTTGATGATCAATGAAAGCTCAAACTTGATGAACAATTACATAAATGTAAAAGCTTGGATTAAATGGTGTTCAACCCTGACTCAGTTTGTTGGGACCAGAATTTGCTCCTCACAAAAACAAGACACGCCACTAAACTGTAAATGAAGAGGAAACAATAGACAGAAAAGCAGGTTCATGAATTAAGACATAATAAAAACATCGGGGCACATTCCAATTTTTTACTGACTCACGACCATAGTGCATCAATTTGTAGCTTATTAATTTGAAAATTTCAAGGATGAACATTGAAACTAGCTAAAGACAAGATCAAGAGAGCAATATAATTTTCCCATGCCAAAGAAGAGTCACCTAATTTCCAATGTACGATCACAGAGGACCTGGGAAAGTACCATTCTCCCTCTGCTCATTCCACCTCTCAACCTGCAGCAATTTGAACATCCAAAATATTAAAATGGGAAACACACATAGAACACAATGGCCGGACTAATTCAACTTCTATTTGCCTTATAAGGAACTGCTGATACAAGCACTACAGAAAATAATGAAAATATTGTTGCGTATGTAGAATTAAACAGGAACCCTGGGATGGTTATTCTGTTATTCGTTGATCAGCCAACCCACCAGTAGCAGAGAGCACAAATGAAACAATACATTACAGCATTAAAATTAGAATAACGATGGCTACTAGATTATATAAAATCTCAACAATTAAAAAGCAGTCACCAGCCTACCACTATACCTGGGGTCAATTAAAGTAGTAACTACTAAATAATAACTCAAAAGATCCTATTCATAAACCTAATTCAGTCCACATAGATCACATATTAGTTTCATCACCTTATCCATCTATCTCCACATCTGAACAACACTAAAATAGGAACATTTATGAGTGCACAAAAGTCCTTCAATGACAATCTTTGCAGAACTGTCCATAAATTGATAGCTTGTTCAAGTAGACACTTATTTCATATTTTTAATTATCATCATAAGCAACATCAATCATGATCCTATCACACGTTGTATAGTACACTTAAATATTGTAGTGTACCAATATGATACATTACTTCTGCTGATCAGTAGGAAAAAATACAGGTGCAAAATTCTATAATTCTCAAGACATAATATAGAACATTAGGTGTGAATAACAAGCACCTGTAATTTACTTATGCCCTTCAATGTTAGAGGATATTTTATTTCCTTATTTACAACTACTATGATTTATATGCATCAATTGATAACTAAAACCACAGATCATGTCACAAGCTTTTTCAATGAAGCCATGACATATATAAGGATACTTAACCTTCTGAAAAACAGAATTTGGTACTAGAAGACAAAAAAAAAAAGCACAGGTTAATAAAGTTTATATGAAATATACAGCATATATTCCATTGCAACAAGGCAAACTCTTGATTGCTTATGATAAAATAAAAAATCTAGGTATACTCACCCATTCCCCAGGACAAAGAGAACGATAGTATTTGGCAAATCTCTCACATTGATTAGACTCTTCACCCTTTGCAGCCAAGCACCTGTAGTTAATTTTAGATTAAATACACACACACACACACACACATTTGATAGTATCCAAACAAGCAGAATTTGAAAATTAACAAGCAATGTACCTGTGAAACTCAATATAGCGGGTGAAACAATGTCGAGTTTGATTTGTTGTAGGGAAACGAAAGTCAGCTGGGGCTGTTTTCAGTTCAATCTGGGATGATACAGGGAAAAATATAGTGTCGATGAAATGTGAGAACTAATAAATGATAACTTGATGTGAATTTGTTACTTATCAGTTCAAAGTGAAAATTTCCAATTATAACAGTCAGAATCATTTACCAAGCAAAAGATGTCAATTGAAATCATTTTGCAGGTGCTATACATTAATCTTTCAAAGAAATTATAAGGTAGAATAAATAAACAAATTCTTAATTTTAGAAGCCAACTGGCATAATTACGTATATAAAGCATTAGCAACAGCCAACAGGCTTCCATGAGATACAGACAAGAAAAGTTATTGCAGCTTCAAAATGCCACAAAAAGGGTATCTGAAAATTCTTACTGCAGAATCGAAGTGTCTGCTTATTCATAGTTCACAAACAAGTTGACACAGCATAATGCCAACAGCCTCCACAGATGAATGGCAGTCTTAAGGTTGCTTGTAATGCCCAAGCCTTAAACTTGGTACATGTCAAATGTTGAGAGCTTAGTGGGACTTGAGTAGGCTTTGTCATTTGCTTTTGAAGCATAGCTTTATGTTTGATTGTGTTAAAATTGCAGGTGCTTATTCCATTCCAATTTTTTAGCTTTTTAAGTGAGAAGGATATTTTTATAATTTTAGCTTGCTGGATATTACAAATCAACATGCCTAAGAGTCCTATTTCAGGCTTTCCCTTATGTTATAGTGTTTTTATCTATGGTGTAGCTATCATCATTTTAAGTCAAGTTTGTTAATTTGTTAATTGTTAGGTTTCCTAGTTAGCGTCTCAAGTATTGGTTAAAGTCCTAATTGCACTAGGAATGTTATGATTCTATACACAATCATTTCATTGAACGGTAGAATTACTATGAGCAAATTTCCAGCATTGCTGCAGTTGTGATTGTATTATAAAATCAACCTCAGGTGCGATTCCTAAGGCCAAAGCCTATATGGTTTCTTCTTATTATTTTCCAACATTGTTTACCTTTCCAACCAACCCCAGATTAACCTCTTTAAAACCAAGCAAACTCTACCAATTCCACAAAAGCAACTGTCAATTCCCCACTAACCATCAATTAATTTCACAGACATGGTTCACAATACCAGAACAGGCTAGGAACAAGAAAGCTGTCCAAAATCACAACTTCCTTAAATCACGGATGATCCAAGAATACATGAAAGTAACTTCATTAAGATATTAAGAGAGGGCATACCAAATATTTTGATCTTTCTTCTATACGTGCAAGGTCAGTATAGAAAATACATCAAGATATAAAATAACCTAGTTTCCCTTTAGATAATGCTTTCAGTGGCATAAGTCCACTACTGTAATCCAGTATTCCTCAAGTACTTCAGAATTTATGCTTCTAACGCCATAATGCTTATTACAGTACACCTTTTAATGTCATCAATCGCTCTATATATAAGTAAGAGTATAATCTCTCCAGTGTCTTCATTAGTTTTCTTACAAACACATTAATTCATAATTAATATAAAGAGAACATAATGCTTAGGCCTTGATAACAAGATACACTTACTCTGTACCTTATCATTCATTGAATGAAGGCGAAAAGGGTTGCAAGAGACGAGCTGTGACTATTGAAGTTATCTTTCAAATTATATCCCAGTTTTGGATTATGAAAAGAATTCATTTTGCAAAACAAACTTCACAGTTTAGCTACAACCGCCTATTTCCAAAAATAATTTCCTCTTCACAGTACAAAAAGATTCGAGCTTACTACACTACAACATCAATAATTTACCATAATATGGTAAACATAGAAATGCAATATTCTACTTTGACACACAAATTCATCACGGAATGCGGAGCCTAATACAAATCTCAACAATGACGGTTGAATCCTTCCGACTTAAACAACTTTCACTTCAAGGTACTAAATTTCTAGAACATTCCACTTACAAATTCAAGTCACAAATCACATGAAAAGACTTCCTTTTTTTTTTCCCCTAAAGCAATGAAATTTCAGATTCTTCACATCAAATGACTATCAAAATCGTTATTCCCCTTTTTGTTCAAGAATTTGCAAGCAATGACAAATTCACAACTGAAACCTAGAAATTTAATAAAAGAGAGTATTCTAAAAGACCGAAACAACTGGCGCATATAAACGAATAAGAAAACAGTTATTGACCAAAAAAAAAAGAGAAAACAGTGAATAAATTTGAGATCAAATGAGGAAATCGCTATCGAAATTTTAATTCTAAAAAGAAATTTTCGATATTCTTTTCATTTTCGGCAGTTTCGTGGAAAATAAATGGAGAAGAAAAAATTAAAGAGAATCGACGGTTACCTCGTCTGCCATGACTGATCCGATCAAAGGGAAAAGAACGAAAAGATGGTGACGGTTTTTCGACGGGAGACTTTAAAATTGGCTTACAAAATTGAATGACCAGTTAGGTTTCTCCGGTTCGTCCTGTGACCAATAAGAACACGCGACGTCAGATAGGCAAATCCTAATAAATTGACCAAAATACCAAAGGTTTAATATAATGAATAACCCCTTAAACTATAATAAAATATTAATATAATATTTAAACTTTAATAATTTTTAATGTAATTTTAAATTATTAATTTATTAATTAATGTAGTACTTACTTTTAATATAATTAATTTCAAATAATGCTATATGTCAAACAAATAACTTTTCAAGTATTTAATAAACTCACAATTTAAATACTATATTAGATATATTTTAAAGTCCATGTATCATATTGAAAATCATATATATATATATATATATGATATTATAATATATATAGTTACTAGATAACATTTGTTAACTTGGATACTTATATAAACAGCTTCTTTTTTTCACACATAAGATAATTTTTAAAATTTTTCATTATGATGACACATAAGATATTTATTAATTTTAAATTATTTATAAAAATATATTTTAAAAATTATTAAATTATCTAAAATTTTAAAATTTAATCAAAAATTAATTTAAATTCTAATGAAATTCATTTCTCATGTACATCATATCATCTCAATTTAAAATCAGTTTTAAAAAAATTTATCTTTTTTAATTTATCTACACTTAACATGATTATTTAAATTTATCAAAACTTTTAAAAATATTATTTAATATCTTCAATATTTTTTATAAATAATATTTACATTATCTTCAACTTTTAAATATATTAGTTATAGATAAAAAATAAATTTAATAAATAATCCATCAGCTTTAAAAAATAGGTTTAAATTTATTTGAATTAAAATAAAATTTAAATTTAAATCAATATTTGTCATAAACTTTTAATATTAATATTTTAAGAAAATGTGAAAAACAAAGATATAAATATCGAAATAATTTCAAGAAAACCTTCATTGTTGGTAGTTCTTAGTTATATAGTTTTTCTAATATCTCACGAAGCATATGAGTTAAACATATTTTTTCTTACTATTAATTTAACCTCTCTTTTTATTAGTCTATTCTTGCTATATTTTGACCCAAAGGTTTTAATTTTTATGCCCTTATAATTGTTCTAAGTACAAGGTCATCTTCTTTTTCAATAGAAGTTACCTTTCGTTACTCTTTCAAGTTATCTAGAGTAATTTCTTTATAATTATATTCTAATTTGAATCTATATTTATCAAAGATAAAATCCTTAGATTTAATTACTATATTAATAAGAATTAAGCCAGTTGGTTCTATCACTATGAATCTATATGCATTACTATGTTGAACATAACCAATGAATATACATTCAATTCTCTTTTCACCTAATTTCTTTCTTTTAAATTTAAGAATCCTTATAATTGCTCTACAACTCCATATCTTAAAATAATTTATGTTGGGCTTCTTTTTCTTCCATAATTCTTATAAGGTTAACTTTTTCCTTTTATTAGGAACTATATTTTGGATATGGAATGAAGTTAAGAATGCCTCACCACAAAAACCTTGCCCTAAACAAGAGTAGGACAATAAAGCATTAACTATTTCAATTAAAAATCTATTCTTTCTTTCTCCCACACCATTTAATTATGGACTATAAGGTGGAGTTACCTTTTAAAAAAATCCAAAATTCTCAAAATAGTTAGAATTAAAATACTCACCTCCCCTCTCAGTTCTCAAAGTTATAATCCTAAAATTACAATGCAATTCTACTTCATTTTTATAAGTCTTAAACTTATCCAATGCTTCATCTTTAGAATACATCAACTAAACATAACAAAGTATCAATAAAAGTTACAAAGTCCTATTTACCACTTATTGATGGAGTACTATACAAATCACATACATCACTATATATCAATTTAAGGATTTTAAAACTTCTTTCAACTTTATGAAAAGGTTTCCTTGTTATCTTAGTTAACATGCACGTCCTACATTTTTTGTCATTTTTTTTAACAAAAGGAATTAGGTTTTTCTTAGACATTACATTCATTCTATTATAATGAACATGTTCTAACCTATAATGCCAAAGATCAAAAGAATTAAGCAAGTAAGCAAAATAATTATTCTTATTATTTATCATAATAAGAGATACAATGAGTTTAAACATGCCATTATAGGCATAGCCCTTTTCTCACAAATATGCCAGCCTTAGACAAGATAAACTTGTCTCATTTAAATACTAACTTAAAACCATGCTTAGTAAGCAAGCTAGCGAACAAGATTTTTCCTAACTTTGAAACATATAAAACATTTATAATTGTTAATGTTTTACTAGATATAGACTCTAAATCAATTGATTTTCTACCTTGGATCTCAGTTGTAGAAGAATTTCCCATATATAACATATTACCTTTCTCTAGAAAAGTTTTGAAAAAGGCTTTGTTGGTACAAATGTGTTTCGTGGTACCAAAATCATTGTCTTTTATGACAATGATTTCAAATATTATAACAATAAAGTTTTCTTTGGTTGCCTTAGGTATTTCTTTCTTTTTTTTAATTACAGGGAAATCTTTCTTAAAATGACCTTGTTTCCACAATGAAAACATGCACCTTTCTTTTTTCTTAAACTCTTTGACCTTTGGTGAGAGTTTTTTTCTTTTCATAGATGTGGATGGCTTGACATCTTCCATTAAATTGACCTTGGAAGAACTAGCTTCTTTTTCTTTGTCATTTTCCTTACAATATTGCTTTTCTAAGTGAAGATTACTTGCAAGCTCTTCAATATTAACATCTTTCTTTTTATGTTTTAATGTTTACTTAAAGTCCTTCCATGATAACGAAATCTTGTCAATTATAGAAGACATAAGAAATGTGTAATCTATATCTATCTTGTATTGTTTTAACTTATTCAAGATAATTTCAATTTCAATAAATTGATCCATGACCTATTTAAAATTAGTCAACTTATACATGTTCCATCTTGAAACTAGGAACTTCTTGGATGTAGTATTTTCTTTCATATACATTTTATCCAACTTATCCCATACTTATTTTGTTGATGTGAATGTAATATAAGTATCAAATAGAGAATCGGACATACCATTTAATATGCAGCCTATGCATGTGTAGCCATTATTCTTCCACTTTTGCCTCTTGAAAGTTTTATTGTGAGATTTATCTTTTTTTTCTTCTGGCCTTGGAGTGGTGAGAACATGTGCAATCTTTAAAGTGGTGGGGAAGATATGCATCTTTTGTTGCAACCTTAGGAAGTTGCCTCCATCAAATCATTTCAAAATTTAAAAGGTGATTGTCATCTCCTTGATGGAATTGAACTTCTCCATATTATTGAAAACAATCCTTAAGTTGTTAGAAAATTAATGGAAAACAAGGCTAAAAGAAACAACTTGTGAACTTGTGAACTTATTGTAGCCTTTTTGTTGAATAGTTAGAGTTGAGTAGACCTGGTAATTTAAAACATGACACAGTGACACAATACGAACATGATACAAAAAAAAGATACGAAGATAATATGATTTAAAATTTTAGTAATAACTATATATGGGTTAACTAAATAACAAAATATATATTTCATATTTTTATATCAATATAAATTGTGGCATGTAATTTTTATGTAAAACACGTTACGAATACACGAATTTCAATATTTTATATTACATGAATTATTAGGTCTAAAGTTAAGCAATTATGAACCTTCAATCACGAATGAAATTGCTTCAAAGTGTGCTGCCAATGTCACTTTCCTTAAGGATTGTGTTGCTTCAATCAAATATCACTTTCTTTTGATTATAAATATATCTCTTTAAAAGATTACAAACATATTTACTCATTTGAATAATCAAACTTTTCATACAAAAATAAACCATTTTTTACTTTTTTGAAAATTGTAACTTTTCATACAGAACAATCAGCTACCCCAAAAAGACTATCATCCAATGGCAATTGATTCCACAAGGGTTTGCTCTAGGTTGACAATCTATCGCTACTTATACAAAATTTAAGTTTAGCTTTTGTTTAACAAAGCAGTCGACTTCATATCCTTGACAATTGTTTGCTCTTCCTAAACGGTTAAGGCAGCTGACTGCTCTAAGCATGGCAGTTGACTGTTTTTCTATATAATTTTAATACATGATTTTTTTAAATATAGAATCATAAAATTATCCTTAAGAATCATAACTTAAATTATTTATTAACTTAATTTCTCTTTAATTAAATTATTATTTAATCATATTTTTATATTTAAAAATATTTTCTAAGAAATCCTAATGAGTCGCTTGGCTAGAGATATGTTTGGGATGATTTGTTTAATAAATCTATTTGTGCAGCTCAAACAAGGTTTAAACTAAGAGTATTAAAGTCCAGACAAAAAACTTTACCTAGTGAACCGACTATATATTTTACCGTGTGAGTTTTTGGTTAGAATATTGATAATTTTGTTGAACATCAAACTTTAGATATTCTTGCACGTCATATGTATATATATATATATAGTTAATTATATATAGTTATTTTTTTTCCTATCAAAGTTTAAATTCTAATTATTATAACTAAAAATTAAACACTACCAATATATCATATTGGTAAAAGTTGTAAGCTCTAATATCACTTTTCACAACTCACATTTTCTATCCAAAAAAACATGCTTAATTCCAAAGAAAACAGATTCCTAACTTTTCCCTCCTATATCTCTGTTCCTTCTGTTTTTTCTCCAACTATATCCGTACGTTAAGTACAGTAAAGATCAAGACTTGGTAAAAGCATGACACCGATTTATCCAAAAAGGCATGTATTAAAAAACATAGAAGCTGGATGTCCTGGTCTAACTTTGGCATGCACTAGACAGTTCTAGCTAGTGTGAAATATTTGAGCAAAGACTCTTATCTTTTCTGTCAAGTCTTGTTCTTCGTTAATACAATGGCAGATAATAATAGTGCTAATCCAGCAGAAGCTGTAGCAGTGGCAGTAATTGAAGGAACGTTGACAAACCTAAACAAGATCAGGACACGAAGAAAACTATTCTGCCAGGGAAATTTTTTCCATTGAAACACATTTCAGGTATATTATCTGTGGTCTCATTTGTTTTTTCTCTTCCAGTTCTTGCCTTGGTCACCTGGCTGCTATGTATGAGAAGCTATGACTGCGAATGGCTCTTCAAGTTGCCAGATTGCAGATTGGGATCAGCATTGGTTTGATCTGTGTCTTCTTTGATTTGCAACGGTGCTCTCTGCTTGAGAACCCGGTTGCCGATGGCGGGAATTATTGTGGTTATGGTGCCATTGACTGTGATGTTTACAGTCGGTATTGCACTCCTTGGAGCTAACAACATGGAGAACAGAAAGATTCCAGCTACACCATTGTGGTTCAAGATGAAAATTCGTGACAACAGTCTTTGGAGCAACATCAAAGACTGCATTTACGACAGTGGCGTTTGCCAAGATTTGGCCACGACATCGATGCAACTCAGATCATATGATTTCAGTATAAAGAAACTATCATTTATAGAGGTATATATCATCAATTTTACATACCAAACTATTTAATTTAGCTGACACAATCTTTGTTTTTTGTGATAAATACTAATCCTGTCTATACCTTGATCGACTCATTTTGAAGTCTGGATGTTGCAGACCACCTGGAGATTGCCACATGCAGTATGTGAATGCCACCTTTTGGGAAAAGGGTGAAGAACTGGTAAATGAATCTGATTCCAAAAATGCCGACTGTGATTCATGGAAGAACGACAGGGACGTCTTATGCTACAATTGCCGGACCTGTAGAGAAGGTTATATCAGAACATTGCAAGGCAAATGGTTCAAACTTGGGGTGTTTCTTGTTTGCATGGCTGTGCTGCTTATCAGTTCTCATCTGTCCCTATTTCTGGCATCAATGTGGGAGCTCCATGTATCGTAGAGCAAAGCTAAAGGCTGTTTCATTTTCTGTTTGATGTAACCTTTTCTTTTCTTTGATGGTTAGGATATTATTTGGGTAAATTTGTTTTAATTGCTGGCTGTCTAGAGTCTAGACTCAAAATAATGAAACTTGTTTAATGTTGTGCCCATCGTTTTCTAGTACAATGCTACCCATTTTCCGTTTCGCTTAACAGAGCTAAAATTAATGAAAATTAAGGTGAGAGCTGATTGTTAGAACAATTAACTGTGAAAGTTTAATTAATAATAGAAAGTTGAAGAATAACTCTAAACATTAAAGACTTACGATGAAAGCTGCAACCCGAAAATAGAAGAAAAAAATTGTAAGTGCTGGATTTCAAACTTCTAATTTGTTGACTATCACTTTTTAAAAATGTCTGTATAAACTAAGCTTAACTTCGAGCCCATGTATCAATAAATATTATTATGCCATTCCTCCTCTAATTACTTCAAATAAAAGGAAAGACGTAGGTATTGCTTTACCTTTCTCCTAATCTAAAACCATACGTCCAATACATACATGGTTTCAATTGGACAGCTGTTTTAAGTGCAATTGGTTCTGAGATTCTAATTTGCAAGAAATATGAAATAAGCATATTGTAACTGCCGACATTGATCTGTGGTTCTTTGTTAACTGCTGAAAACTGTTTAAACGGTGTAAAGCTAACAATCTAGAGCTTTCATAATAGCCTATTAACTCCCTGTGTCCTAATAAACCGGCTATAGTGGCCAAGGCAAGATAGATTATGACCAGCTCACATGGCAGCTTCTCCTTGATTACCTCTGAGCAAGTGATGGATCATACGGTGCTCCCCAAACCGAACCAGGAACAGTTTGAATGCCAGTTGCAGCAGTAGCAGTTGGAACATTAGCACTATTACCATATGGGATCATGCCTTCGGCGGGGCCAAGACCCATCTGCATTATAGGCTGACCATATCCATCAAAATAGGTGCTGCTACCTTGAAAAGGTGGAATATATGAACGATTAGGATTCATGTAGCCAGCAGCATATGGTACTGGCCCTATTGGTGCTACAGAACACAGCATTAGTGGAAGTGTTAGCAAAGGGAAAAGAAAAGCGCAAAAGGAAATGAAGCAACCAGAGTGCCGACTAATATAACCACCATCTCTACAGGAAAGGAAAGTTACCATGCACTTTCTTCTCAGCACTCAAGACTTCAGCGCGTAACTTTTCAACTTCTCTTGCCATCCCAATTAGTTCCTTCTCCATAGCTTGCATTTGCTCCACTTGCTCTATGTTTGAACCTTTTTCATACTGAAATGTAACCCTACACATAAAAGAGATTGAAACAATAGTAAGAACCAACTTCTTAGCAACTTTATGGTAGGAAACACAACAATGAAATATGAAATAGAGAGACCTCGAGCTAAGAAACATATTTATTTTGCTCACTTAAACATTTGGGAAAGTCGCATGACTTATGACCCTGGGCTCATAGAATGAGTTTTATAGCAATCAATATATAAATTTGGTGCCATGCCAAGCTCATTGGAACCTTGTGTTTACAGTCATTTACTTAAAACAGCATGCCACATTAGAGCTGGGGCATGGGGTAATAACAACAATAGCACATTCACCAACATGCCAATTTTATCAACACTTACCTGGAAATTTAACATTCAGATGAACACTAGAGCAAATAAATCAGATTTACAAGAAACGGGGTCCTAAAATTTGCATCAATTTGAATGACTAAATGCAGCACATATTAACAATAAAACATTTTGCCACAATAACAACAAAATATTGTAACAAAAATTTTTGATGTTAAACACTTATTGAAGGGTTACAGCACACCTAGCAACAATACAACTTGTTTAACTCACCGTAATTTCTGGTGCTCTTTCCTCAAACCTTCAAGTTCAGCATGCAACTCTGGCAGACTCTTAGCATCAGCCTGAGTTTTCAGTAACTCCTGAGAGGCCTGTCCAATTTGGGTGACCAACTCTTGTCTGGCTTTGACTAAGTTTTGCGCCTCAATGTGTACCTGTTGCAACTCCTTTTTCACACTGTCACCAACCCGAATATCCGCTTCCATTTTCACAATCTTTTCCTGCAGAACCCTGATCTGAATATCACTCTCAATCTGGATGCTTTTGATGTGTTCCTTAAGTCTCTGTGCTTCATGCCGAGCAGCAACAAGGTCTTCGCTCAAGGCAACATGACTAGCTGCCAATCTGTGCTTGTCACCAACAAGTTGCTCAATTTCTGCAGCCTGAGAAGCAATCTTGTTCTCTAAAAGCTCAGGCGGAGGAAGTGGCTCCCAAGCCCTATGGGCAGCAGAACCTGGGCCAGCAAGTGGACCATGTCGTATCACACCTGAAGCCTGGATGGAACGTCCCTCACATGCTGATCGGATTTTTCTAGAAGCCATCAGCCTGATAGTCCGCTCAGACTAGGCCACAGTTAAATAATAATCTGGAGAATAGACACCTTAGGTGTGGACACCAAATTTTGTTTATATATACATATATATGTGTGTGTGTATATATATATATATATAGAGAGAGAGAGAAAGAGAGAAAGAATCAGTCACAGGCCTCAAGACAACGTATGAGACAACGGAGAGAAATTAAAGAGCATACCCTGCTATAACCAAATTCTACTTAATAAATACCAAGCATCCGCCCAAACAGCAACCCTCCTCCATGGAGAGAAAAAAGAAAAAAGCGAAGCTGGATGTAAAAGGGAAAAAAAAAAAAAGATAAACCCTGATACAGATTGCAAAAGGAAGAATGTCCTTCAAACTTGGGCTTCAAATTATACCCAATGAAAAGAAAAAAAACAATAAAATTGTATAATGCGCATGGGAGATTCCTCACTCAATCATCAATAACTGCCAAGAAGCATTGCAAGGTTCCTTTTTCCTTTTCTCTAACTTCTATTGAATGAATTTAATTCAATAATACACCTAACAACAAGAAATGAGTGGCACAAGAAGATTCCAACTACAACCTAACTTGATCCTCTTATTTGGTTTTTCATACAGCTGACCCCAGAGTATGGGATATAAGGCTTAGTGTGTTGTTATTGTTGTTATAATATACCTAGCAACAACAACATGAATTAATTAAAAATATGAAACAGTTTTGCTATCATGGCAAGGGAAATAGATCCTTTCCACATGCAATTTACCAACATGATAAACACATTTAAAATTCACTTTGGAGACATTGATTATCGAGAAAATAGTATGTCCTACAGTGCAACAGAAACAAACAAGGTTCTTCTCACTATGTGGAGTCATCTAAATGCATCATTACTGAAGATAATTTACTATTTCTCCAAAGATACTTTATCAATAATAATATCTTGTTAACTTGATTTTCTTTAATTGCTGTAGTCATTCAATAACTATCCTTACCTTCAATTATATGAGGATAGATTAGTGGCCTCAATATTCCAGTAAAATGAAAACCTAAACTTGGTTGAACAATTGAAGGTAAAGGGATAAATTACAAAAAGCATGCTTAGGTTATATAAAAATTAACATTAACACCTTGAATTTTGTGGAGTTAGAACCTGGAACATACATTCACCTAAATGATATGACCAATCTTTTGACACGTAACTCTCTACACACATTTTTAAGACATGTAATATTTTCTCTGGAAATATAAGGAAAGTGTTGTTTGAAAATGACCTTAAGGGGGATTTTGTTGTTTAACCGACAGTAAATAATAAAGACAACTACAAATGACTGACACAAATACCAAAAGCAACATAAGACCTTAAAGTTTATATTTCTCCTCAAGACAGGAGAAATCTAACATGTAGCAGTACCAAATGCTAGACAAAAACTATGGAAAATGCTCAATTTTCTGTCTCAATAGTCAAAACAAACCACATAAAGAGAAGGAATTTTAATGGCATCCTACACCATCTCAAACCTGACTTAAAAGTTAGCACCAGCCTTTGAAACAGATATTTGATCAAACTTGTAACCAGTTAATGCTCTCATATCTACCTGCCAACATCATTAACCCAGAGAGAAAATTTACAAAGAATCATCAGTTTAAATTTCACTACAAGTATCTAGCCAGTTACTTAATCAGTAATTCCTCCTAGATATATAGTTTCTCCACAACCCCTCTAGCGTCAAATGTTTTGCACTAAGCTTAAACAAAATGCAAACATCCCTCATGTTAAATTCTCCCAGACACATATATCATTAGATTCTTTTTTTTTTTTTTGGGTCACATCATTATATTCTTATTAGGTGTTTATGGTTTAAGGTTATGTTACATCACAGGAAAATGGACAAAAGGAACAGCAAACACAGCCTTCCTACATGGCAAAAAAGGCCAGATTCACAAAGGATGCTTTGGAATCTGCTTACAGAACTGTCAAAACTGAGAGTGGATGTTGCTCTCTCCAGATTGGTGCCTTTTTATATCTGATAAAATAAATTAAGGAACATATAACTTCAAATTAGCATAAGATCACAAATCAAAGAGAATTTAGAGAAGTATTGATTTAACATATTGAGATAAATTGATGTGTTGGCTCCACAATGGAGTGAAGCATGAGCTTTGAGGATGTGTCTGCTCTAAGGCGCATCTTACTAACGTCCTTCCCTAGAGGATAGGATGCATGTCACTATTTTTATGTTGTAAGGGAAAAATATTTAATTTTAACAGTTGTGACAGATGAATGTAGACATCCAATAGGAGAAGTGGCATCATCGCATGCTTATAAATACCCAACCATTCTAAAGACAAACTTCATTTGTTTATTCACCTCCAACCCACTAAATTCTCTATATTGTTTCACTTTGATCTTCTTCCTCCACCATCGAAGAATCCTAAATGATAAGCTCCTTCTTTACGTAGTCATTTCCAAAAAAGATTATCCTGAACATCATCTAATGTTTAGCCAAAGATAGAAAAGTCCAATCTGTTCTCCATGCAAAATCATAGTGTATTATTGCAGCATAGCTTCATTCTGTTAATAGCCAAACCAAACAATAACGGATGCCACAATAACAATCACCCCTTAACTCTGTTAATCCCTTCAAAATTTTATCCTCTTCCTATGACTAGAATAAATGCAAATTTGGTTTTGGCATGAATCTAACTGACGCTGCTTCATTCCACAAGCAAAGTGCAGTGGGCCACTATACCATTTTAAAAACATAATTAAAAATCTCCCATGATTTGCAACGATACTGATTTATGACTTTGCTATTGTGGTAAACAGGAATCCAGCTCAGACCTGTTAGGAAGAACTCCACAGGATTCATTGATTCATTCACTATTTTTAAATCCTACATTCTTAAAGGCGGCTTTAATCAAACAAATGTGGCAATTCTCCTACATAATCCACATTCAAACCTTTCTCTTTATGCATAACTATAACTTCAAACATGTATCATCTTTAAAGGAATAAAGAGGGAAATTCTGCTATTTCTTAATATTCATTTTCCAATACATGACAAAAAAATTTATGTTCAAGCACAACAATTTTCATTTGGGTTTTTCTCAGCCACATTATCCATTAATAACTTTACAAAGTTTTAATTTCTTGAATCGTGTCCAATGTCCGCAATGTCTTGTTCCGTCACTAACATTAATCTCATGTTCAATGTTCAATACTTACATCCATTATTTAGTTTTGCTACCTAAGTCATCTAAGTAGAATCGTAAGTAAAAAAGGATTAACCAACCAAACTTGTCATACTTTCAACTATTTTCGATTCATTTTCTGACATCTTCCAAGGTTTCGTTTTCAGTATAACACTTGAAATGCAGATTCTGTAAACTTCCCCTCTTTAAGAAAAAGGTTTTAATTGTTCAAGTTTCTTGATCAATTCTTTTATTTTGCATTTATTAATCAGTTTCAGTACTAAAATTATCCAAACAACAACGCCCATGATTGAAAAAGAAAAAAAAAAAACGGTTATGACCAAATTACCTTCTGCTTGCAGGGCTTGAGAAACCGGTCGTGGAAGCCTTTGGTTTTCGACACAGGTGTCGTTACAAAGCTCAAACTTCTACCAATCAAACTTGGAGAGTTTAAAGCAATTGTATTGCTTCAAGCCTGTCCTTTGATATTCAGATTTTTAGAGAGAGAGTCTGAAATCAGATTGAAGAAAGAAATAAAAATAAAAAGGAACGGAAGGGGGAGTTTATAACGGAGTGTAACTGGCAGCTACATCGGCCTCCAGGTCAGCGGGGCCAAACCCTCGGTAGGAAAAAGAAGCCATAAGCATTGGTTTTTTCGAGTGGAATATTAATATTTTTTTTATAAATTACACAAATATATCTTGTAATTTAATACGATTTGAGTTTATCCTTTGAAAATAAAAAGGTGATTTTTTACTATCTTGACTTGTGAAATTTATGTCATTTCGTTAGCATTCTTTGGACACTATCGGTCATAAATGACAAGACTTTATCGTTACAAAACTCATACTTGTTCTCTAAGCATTTGGAACAGAAAGCAAAACTTTATTATTTACAATCAAATATCTCTTTTGAAAATGATCAAATATTTTCATTCAAGAATTAAATCAAAAAACTTTTCAATTTTGATTAAAATAAATATTTTGAGGTGAAGGTTTGGGCAAAAATCAATCGAAAATTAATTAAAATGACAATGATCGAAGCACTTTAGATATCATTCGACACAAAAATGAGGCATGAATATTATGTATTACGTAAACTTTCACAACCTAATAAGGTATGTACCATTCTCACTTTCATTTTATTAAGGTTTGTTGAAATATTTTATTTAAAGTTTATTAAATTTAAAAATTTTAGGATTTTTTATTCAAAATAACTAAATTACAAATATGTTATAAAGCTTTTATACATGAATTATCTTCATTAAGTTTATAATCCTTTATGAACATAATAACTTAGGATACATCATGATGCAATAGCTTCATTGATGCTATATTGTAAGTAATAGCTTAACATTCATGTGAAATCTATAGATTTTTACATTTTAAAATTTGAAATATTTTGGTTTGCAAAAAAATAAAGAAAAAAATTACAATTAAAATGCCTAAGGAAGGGGATGATGATAGCTATGAAAAGTGTTGCATTCCTAATTTTTTACTACCAACAATGTTTAAATATGCATTTTTGAAATAGACTTCAAATTTGAGTAAAATAAAAATTTGTTTTTACAGATGTGAAATTGGAATAAAACACTTGAATTTTATCATGGTGGGTCATTTGTCCATATTCTTTATAAGGTCTGGGTAGGAAGGGATGTTGCATGGGTTGATGATTTTTCTTCAGACTGATTATTATTTTTTCAAGTGTAAAAGTAGATTATAAAATCAGGCTATAAGTCCACTAGTAAAGTGTATTATTGTGTTCTTAAGCTATCTTTGGATGATGGATCAATAGAAATTCGTCTAGATAG